TGGCCAACAAAGTCCGTTTGCCACTTCATTTATGCCGCGCAGAATTGACGCGAACATTATATTCCATTGGGTCAAAAGTTCGTTTCGCGAATTGGACAAATCTGAGTAGAAGTCCCGCATTGGTTCGCGCCTCGCCGGCTCGCATGTGTCGAACAGCGTGTCAAAGATATTTTTTGCGCGAAAGTTCCGCGGTCCCGATCCCCCGTTACCCAGCCGATTCAGTGTTCGCGACAGCTCGCAGAAATCTCTTTAAATATGCTGTGTCGCCCCGGTGACAACGTCCCTCCGGTGAACCTGATAACTTTCGGGAATGAAACACTTTTATGCGGCCGTCAACGCGAAATTACAGTTAACCGTGTCAAAAACGCGGCTCTGAAAAGGAAGATTGATCGACGCCGCGTAAATAATATCGCGCGAAGGAATAGCTAGTTTCGTTTGTTCTCTTTCCCCCCAAAACCACCCCAAAAAAATTGTGTCGGCGAGGTTAAAAACTGCGACGTCATAAAATATTTTGTCGAGTTCCAAAATCGAAGTCGCGTACATCCAAGAGGATTTACTTGCTGAAACAGTAAATCATTCTCGCGAGCTCTCGTCTCCAAAAACGTTTATTCTATTCCCCTTGAAAACCTATCTGCAATTGTACAATTATCGAATTATATTTGCTTCATTTAATTAAAGCACTGGACGTTGTTTCACAATCGCATCCTGATACCAATTAACGAGGACAATAATACCGGCTTTAATTAGATTTTTTATTTCTACCCGGTCCCGATATTATTTTACAACAGTATAAACCAAAAACACAATGACACGCTAGCGCGATTTCGTATCAATGTATACACAAATAAATCGAGTTCTGTTTAAGCTTGTTGAACAGAAACAACAATTAATTCTCAGTAAATTAAATATTTCCCAAATTATTTTAATTTTCCCAATACGATCGACCACATTAACATTATCTCTGGGAACCAGCAAATAATACGCTCATCGTTATCGCATAGTAACAGTTAAAAATACAATTCGACCAGATGATCGACGATTCGTCGAGTATTCTCTTTAATTCTCAGATTGCTCTTTCTTAGTGGGAACGAATTGTAAATTCCGGCCAGTTCCTTAACGAAGGATCTCACCGGTCAAGACAAAGGTTTAATTTCAAATTTCAACCCCGGCCCCGTATATAAATGATGCAATTGCCTTCGGTGCGGACGGGTGAAAATAAATTACGCTTTCCTTCGGCGCGGAGAATCGAGGCCCGCGTGCAGACTCCGGTGCCGGTGCAAATTTATTTGCGCGAAGTAGCACGAAAGTAGTAGTCGGCCGATCGTTCGAAGGGGGAGGGTTCCCGGCAATAAAGGGATCACCCGGGTCGGGTTAAGACGATTTATTGTCTAGGTGAGTTTGCCATATTCGATAAAAAGCCACCGCGTATTTGCCGCGCTACAGCTATAAGCTGTAAAGAGGGGCGCGCGGAGACAGATAAAGTCAATAATTCCTCGCGTTTGACGCGCGGCTTATTGCTACCGCGCTCGGGTGAAGAATCGCGAGGACCCGACCATTTGTCAACGATATTTCACGCTCGGCTACTGCCATTTTGAGTCTCTCCTCCAACTTTCTTCGACTCAGACCCCCGAATTTCGTTTAATTTGTAAGAAGAATTTATAGCCACTTTAGCATGCCGATGGACCCGCATTTTGGGTCGATTGCATGTAAATAAAATGAGGTAACGACGCTCCTCCCGCCCGCATAATAAAGTATCGCGTGACACTTGGATCAATTCTGTTTTACGAGAATCTGACGTTTTTTTCTCCAGAAATCGCGCTACGCAGGAAGGATTTATCACATGTTCCCCCTGCTGTTGCACAATAAATCTGCAATAACCATCGATCAAGGCAGGTCAATCAACTGGTACCCAGGGTTTAAAAAAAAAAAAAAACTGAGACTGAAGATTTATTGCTCTCAGCCAGAAGAATTGCATCGATGATTTTCATTGTAAACTTGATATATACATGAAATAAACAAAATTTTACATAACTGTGTCACTGTTTTTTCAACCCTTATTTGAAATTACGAAAAGGGGTGAGGGGTTTCTCGCCATCTGGTGTCGAGGTGAGTATCGTGTTTTATAAAAAGTACCCCCCGAATAAATGCTGTTCTACTTTATTCGCTGCTGAGATACGAATGACTACCAACAGTCGAGAACCGATGAAGCTGATCGATATTTCCAAGCTTACTCGCTGTCGGTGGTTAGCTTTAAAGATTGTTTCGTAGAAAACGTTTCGCCTGTTCACTGTTGGGGTGTGTGTTGCGCTTGAATTCCATTTTCATAAGCATTTGGCAAGCTTTCGTGGCAAATTACGAAATTATGAAATTAGATCAATGAAATTTGTAAATATAAATGCACAACATTCTTCGCTGTATTAGTCACACGACTTGCCAATGTACAAGGCATAAACTTAAAATTAAATTCAAGTATTCGCAAACTAAAAATCATACACTGATATCTTTTGCCTAAAGCTATTTGATATAAGAAGTTCGTTTTACTTACGAGAACTACTCGTCATATGATTCATCTTTTAATTTTCAATGAATGATAGAAAAGAAATAATTGTAATCGCGTTTGTTTCGCGGACAGCGTCGCGACGCGAGACGACGCGGGCTCGGCTCGAGGCTGAAAATAGCCGGGTAGAACCGCTCGCTCGCTGCTCGCTCCATTCCGCTCGACACCGCGGCAGAACCGCTCGAGCCTCGACACGAATTCCGTCGGTGGGGCCCGACGGAGAGAACGAAAAATCCAGCCCATCCATCCCCACGATTACCTCCTGCCTCGATCTGGGATCGATAAGAAATCGACTTCATTCATAAAGTGAGTGAGAGCACATAGTGAAAATCGTTCGATTAAGGTGTATCTCGGGGTTGACTTTTTTCGTTGGGCCAAGTGAAGTGGAGAAAAATTGCGTGAAGTTCGAAGGTAATGCGGCGTGCGTTACTGTTTGCATTGCGGACGGAGGATCGATCTCGATGCAAACAGCGCGTGTGCCTGCGTAAAAGTTGACCGCGATACGCGAGTTCCTCTTGAAAACTAGTGTTCCATTTTAATTAGAACCCGTTCCTGGGGTTTTTTAATTAGTGATTATAAAGCATAGTGGAAGGAAAACGAAAGTTACGGGAATGTTATACAGGGATTGTTACATTCGATCGTTTGGGTACCTACATGCATTCTGGCAGCGGATTTAAAATTACGAGCCATTCTTGAAATTTTTTATTTAGCGTTATAGCAAGTATAACACGGAGTGAAGAAAGATAAAAACACAGGAATTTTCTATAAGGATTATTAGATTTGGACGAACGATTCTCGATCGTTCGAGCACGTATATGCATTCTGGCAACGAATTTCCAAAATTGCGTAACTCTGACGAATACATTGACGCCTCGTCCCAATGACAGAATGTATTTTCTCGCTACTAAGTATACGAGAATTGAAATATTTAGCACGTGAATATAATATCCAGCGTTGATCCGTTGCCAGTCCACGGATCCATGATTTATCGATAGACCCGAACATCGTTTAATTCGTGATATCCTTAACCTTCGTATTTTAACGCAATACCATTTCTAATTTAAGTGTAGACACGGCCAAGCACACGGATAACTCGGTGAGTGGTAAATGCATCTATTTCTGCCCAGTGGCTGGAAATAGACACCAGAATGAAATGGGACCGGCTTGAAACGTGTCCGTTCACCACGCTGTCACCGTATTGTTTAATTAGCTGATTAAAGCTCGGGCAATATTCATTCGATTATCGATCGGTCCGCACTTAATCAAAATTCGATTTACTCGGATTATCATGTACAGGGTGAGTCAATATAAAATCGTCAAGTACAAGGCTAAATTCATTTAATAATTTGAATCATATATAATAAATTCATACACGTGCTTTAGTAAAATTATTAAATAATTATCGTACGGTATTTATTACTGACTCAGCCTGTATAATTAATCCACTGAAATTTCTGGAGCTAACGCAATTCAAATGAGTCAGATACGTTCAGCCTTTCGCCGGAAGCAGGAGACGGTTGTACTATTTTTATTTGAATCCATGTAGAATTTATATCTCAGTAAACGGGCTTCCGCGCTTTAATTGACGCACGTTTAATACGTAAATAGTAAAAACCGATAATACCGTGGATGGGTATCAATGTCGTCGTAATTAACGTCACTGTTAGCGATCACGGCGTTTACATAATGACGGCGATGAATCTCGTCCACGAATTCTACTTTTTACTATGAACTTTGTTAAATTATAAGCCCATGGTTTTGGGTCACTGTAATTACTTCTCTCTGGAGTAAGACAAGGTTTGAACCGACTTTTGAAGTGAATTTATTTCTCTTTAGAGGGCTGGCTTTAGAGTTCGCAGAAACGGAATACCCAATTAAAGTTTGCTCAAGGTTTTGAAGTAGCGAAATCTTCTCCATTCGTAAGATGTCGCAAAATGCTCAACTCGAATTGTTGAAAATGACAAGAGGTCCTCCAAACAAGCATCCCTCTTAACAAATACCCAAAGTAGAGTAGGACGAACCTACCAAACGTGTCGATTCAACGATGTGGTGGAAATTCTAAATCCACTTCAAGTCGTCAGAACAACCGACTATAAAAATGTTTGAACTCTCACCCTCAATAAAATAATTCCCCAGCTTAATATCTTTTAATAAAAAATCTGCACAGTTATCCTATCAGTCGTGTATGTATCGATTCAGTAAAGCCTATGCTCAAAAGTTTATATCGACCGACGTATCATAAAAATGATTAAAATTCGTTTTTACCCTTAAATGAAATATTCCCAGGAAAATTGCTTATTAATTGAAAAAGTTACGCGGTTATTCTAATTTCGAATTAAGCGAAGGTGGATTGTCAACTACAACAATAATGAATGCATGGAGCGGGTCGTTTAACGATGAAATTTCGAGCATGCGGAATTTGATTGAAGGGAACGGGCGCTTGCGCAGGGTGCTTGGGGGTGTCGCGAGAAAGCAACCCTTGGTTCAGTAGTGGCTGATCATCGGTGCACCATCGTAGGTTAGAACGTCAGTGCCTGGTGGTGATCGCCGTTGCACGGCGCAGCGTGAAAAGTGATCTATACGCCGGTGACGAGGGTGCGTGCCCACCGGAAGGGTGAGACGATGCCGGACCGCGACCGCGTGTGATCGCGTATCATCCGCGCCCTATTCGCTTCCTGGTCGGAGTTTACGGAACTCAGAGAACCGGGCCAGGCGATAAACCACAGTGAGTGAAAACGTACCGGGATGGCTGACAGCGAGGGTGGTTCCGAGCAGGATGACGTATCATTCCTTCGCACGGTGAGCTTTCCAAAATTTATTTATAAACTAACTTTTTTCAGAGAATATTATTAAATAATATGACTGAAAGAACAACATTAATAGTACTATATTGATGAAAAGAAATTTCACCCCAGGTAAGAGTTAAGGGTTCAAATGGTTGTTGAGAAGTTGAAGTATGTATGACACTGTATGCAGGTGGTTCGTGGCATGCAAACGCTGATCCAATATAGAAATGCAATGTATGATGAATATTAAACGGCACCGGAATCACGCGATACGTTAGATGCGTGAATGTCGTGAACCGGGTATCACGTGGGAATTGCAGAAAAGCGCGCGTTATCGAACGATCGCGTCGTATGATAACATGTACGACGACAATTCGGAAGACCTAGCAAAATGCGGAAGCTTAAACGCATTTGGCTAGAAAATTAGCAACACCATTAGACACATCCGCTTAGGTCTTTGTGCCGATGGATACGTTGGTTTACAATGACACGGTCACTTGTACGTTACGGAAGCTTGCATAAAATCGCGATTTATCGTTGGGACAAGGTACACGCTCAATGAATCGTTGAAGCACTTAAAGTTCTCGCACTGAACGACCTTGACCCCGTTCGGATCGCAAGGATCGAGCATGGTGACCGAGAGGGTAGCCGCAGCCTTGAGCTTCCATAAGCTGCGCTCGATGCGCGACTCTAATACCCGCCCCTAATAAAAATACACCTCACGCGGTTTCGTTATCGGTATGCGTTTACCAACAACGCCACGCGTGTCCATCGATTTTTCCTACCCTTTTACTATTAATTACGCCATAAAAGTCTTTACAAATGAAAACACGTATATTTCTCGTCAGGTATAAAAATACAAGATCAGCAAAAAAAAAAAATGAGTACGCGTACGAGATACAGTCGTGTCGAACAGAAAATTAAAATTCGTATTTCTAGATTACTCGGACACGGACGATGTGACTTTCTTCTATTCGTCGATCCTCGCGTTTCGTACTGTGAAATACTTTTATAACGCGAGGCTAGATCGGATTTTATCTGTGAACGGTAACGACTGACACCAAGGGAGTGAAACGGGAGCCAGAAGGAATCAGCGCTTTCCGCATCCTTTTCTCATCTTACACGCGAGCTTGTAGTATTTTCTCTTCCTGCTCTCCGACATGGCGCACCACCTTCTCCCTGCCCTTCGAGCCACTTCTGTCACCCGTTTACCGGGAGATTTAAAGTACATTTCCAGATAAAAGATGATAAAGGGATTGGCTGACAGAATCAGGCGTCTACGCCGCCTCGTGCGTGGCTTGCAGATGCATTTTACTCTCCTTGAAGAACGCCTTCTCCTCCTTGTAGAACGCCTCCTCCTCCTCCGTCTTCGCCTGCGGCTACGGCTTCGACTCCGCTTACGACAACTACAACACTTCCCTCCTCCCCTTTCGGTCAACGGACCCGCCACCAGGCATCCATCAGGAGATTCTTCACCACGTTGCATTAAGTTTCTATCCAAAGAATTATTGACGTTCCAATTTTAGTTTTTAATTCGTTTTGCACATCCTTAAATGCGATTCTATTCAACATTGGATTCGAGACACCCTTTTCCGAGAAAAACTAATTCAAGCTCGAAGCTCTCCAAAGAATTATGAATTTTAATAAACAAACGCTGTAATAATCTACTCTGACCCTTTGATTTCGATCAGATAAATGCAAGAAGAAAATTGCTGCGCTAATTAAATTATACGATATCGTGTAACTTCGTTCCGGAGCGCTAAACGACTGCAAGCGGTTTTCGTGACTTGGAATCATAACAAAATGTATATTTAAATGGAAAGGTATAACAGTATCGATCCCTCTTCCGAATTTCTTAACTACTTCTTTCTTAACTTTGCAGGACAAAGAATTGTCCAAGTTGCAAGCTCTTCAAATGTTCTCGGGAAATCGACTGTTCTTCCAGGAAACTTATTATCGTCATCCCATTAACCTTCTGCACGAAAGGGTTATGACCATATAAAACGCTCGAGATCACGTGAGCAACAGATCATCGATACAAATTGACTCGTAAACGATCTGACTAACATATTGGTTAACCCCGTTTCGTAAGAATACAAAATCCGTTCGGATTACCTGGGTCGTGATCGAATAAAAAATGTCTCACCTGTCGTCGGGACCTCCGATGCCCAGTGGTCTATCCATATTCTATTGTTGTGATTATAATGTCGAGTTCTACTTGAAGATTTTAAGTACATGTGTGGCCGAAATTCAAAATGTCCAAACGGCCAAAAAACATTTGAAATGTTCGTCGGCCAGTTTCGTTCCTTTGGATCGCATGGAAATTGAGCATCGATACTGATCTACCTTCATACAAGTTTACCTTTACAATTAAAGAACATGATCTTTTTAAATGTAAAGGAACATGTTTCTCCTTTCGTTTCCTGCTCTTCTTCTTTATGTTTAGCATATTGAATCGATAAATTCTGTTATTAACCCGAGATATTGCGTTTCGTTCACGGTTTATTGCAAGGTGCAAATCGGATTATACGAAATTTATATCTTAATTCGTTGGCTTTAACGTCGTGCCACGTATATTCCGTTTTAGATATTACTTGATGACCTTGCTCGAGCTACCGTAACGCGAACGTAATAAATCAGTTTCGCTCCGCTCTGCGAAGAACTGAAATAGGGGCGTAACACGATTTTCCAATTTTTTTTCCTCGTTGTTTTCAATCTCATGAACTCTGACTTATTAAACGCAGTTTAAAATATCCACCGGGATATTAAAATTGTTTCATAAAGTCGAGAAATTACGTTCAGCTGCAAATCAATCTGGCAAGCGTTGAGATCAACAAACAACGTTTATGAAACGTAGGGATATGCGTAGAAAAGATGTCGCGAGCTCTGGTTTGCAATGAGCATTAATTAAGTCAACGACTGTTGACACCTTTGGCCACTCGGCCCGGTTGCGCTCGTAGCTAGCTCGAGTAGCAATAAACCGGTTAATTAAAAATAATAATTAATTGCTACAGTGTTTAAAGTCGTCTCTCTAGACTCTCGGCTGTCTTCTTTAAGAGCGTGGCGACAGTTAATTTTAGCAATCGACGATGCATTGTTCCGTATGATCGATACGTATCTCGTATCCTTTTCATTAAAGATTCCACTACGAAAACCGGCCTCGCATTCGTGTTAATAACTCGAGTGCCTCCGTACGGAACGTGAAGAATGGCCCATTAACCTGGCCAAAGGTTCGTACGATTGTAACGAAATAAGTGGCTGCGACAATCGCGCTAAAAGCTCCGTAGAATCGAGATACCGATCGATAATTAGCACGGTCGCTGCTTAAATTAACACGTCCATTCCTTTAACAACGGGCGATTATACTTTATTATATTTTCCTCCAACGCTCAAAACATCTGGACAACAATATCGCATTGATTTACTAATTTTATGAAAATGTTAGACTCCTAGATTGCACACTTACCGAGAAGATTAATGTTTTTCTCATATTCTATCCAGGAGTTAATCTAAACTTTGTCCCTCGTAAACCGAGGACCCTAATCAACTCAGAAGACACGCCCAGTTACTAAAGTCCGTCGAAATACAGCGAGGCAAAGTTAGGTTTGCCGGCCGGAAGTCGATACGATTAATGTTTATTACATGAATTGGATTATTCAGTCGAAATATAGATTTACATCCACGTTACGACGTCAACTCCACAATACAGATAATAGATTTAGTTTGTTAGATGCAGTTTTCTCTTTCACGTTCGTCGTTAAGAATCATGATCACGGTCACGGTAGGATTAGCTTTGTGAAATTATTGATTGCTATTCGAATCGAAGAAAGTCAGCAACGTTGCTGACGAGTGAATTTGCGGTAGCCTCTGGCCGCTCGCGAATTTCGCTTGGCACTCGAACGCGTCTCGCATGCCTTTCGGTAGAAACATGCAAACGTTATGCTAATTAATGCCTGTTACTTATGCGAACCTGTGACCTGCGTGCCATTCACGGTACCTTCACAAAACGCGTTCGTGAAAAATGTAAAGTAGCGGAGCGGAACTGTTAATGCAACCGGAACAAATCGAGGTACTTGGAATTTTGCAAGCGACACGACGAGCCGACGGGGTCGAATGATAGAAATAACCTTGCTATCTATCGATGATTGCAATTATCATTGATTGCATTATCTGATGCGCAGCCACGCATCTGGCAAACTAATCCAGTAGCACGCGTGGAAAATCGTATCAATTTCGATCAGGAAATTCTGAAATCGCGTTTTCCAGAATTCTATATACGTAATACAATCATCGAGAAGTGCTTTATCACTAAACTGCGGATTTTTATGCAAAATAAAACAAAAAATAAAATCTAAATAGCCATTTGTTTCATCCATTAAGAAATAATATTATGTATCTCACTTTCAATCTAATATTGTATCTTTTATATTATATGTTGATATAATTTTTCTATAATCAAATCTACAATCTATTTATTATATTCTAGTCTTTAATCCAACTATTCGAAATCGATATGCATCACGGATTACTTTGTAAATTATTCTGCTTACAAATTTAAACAAATTGCGTTTTACTTGCTCATGACTCATTCCGTCCACTTTGAGTCTGCGTAATAAAAACAGTTGACATCGTTTCCTTGACAATCCGCTTTGGAAGTCTTTAGGAAACGCATCTCAGTATGTTTGTACAAAAGTATGCTTGCAAATTCTTGAGACGGTCCAAATTGGTTTTGGCACTGGGCGTAGAGCATCTGTCGTTTGGCCTAATGTCATATTTCATCGTTTCGCAAAAGTCCCATTTATATTCCTATGCATCAATGAATACTTTTTTTTCGAACTCCTACACGATCTCCCTTTTTACGATTCTTAATTAAAATTAATGGATTATTTCAAAGAAACAGAGAAAATGATGTAAAAATGGATCAGCATTTGCCAACGCAAGTTTAATTCGCTACGAAGGGACAGTATAATAAATGAAATATTGAATTGGAATTGTAGGAGGACATGGTATGTTTGTCCTGCACAGCGACTGGTGAAAGGGTTTGTCTAGCAGCCGAGGGTTTCGGTAACAGGCACTGTTTCCTCGAGAATATAGCAGACAAGGTGAACGTCTGACCAATTACTGACCGTAACTACTCGCAGGGGAGAAAATAATGCTAGCCCGTTTTTGCTTATCGTAGAATATACCGCCTGACCTGTCGCAATGCGTATTCGTAATAGAGCAAGCTCTCTCGGTGAGAGCTTTACAGGAATTGGTCACTGCTGCCGGTTCCGAGACGGTAACGTATACTTGTTTACCATATTAAATTATATTACAAATTATCATACACTGATTATCGTGCAAACTCTATAGAACGATACACCGAGTTTTTCTTCCCGTTGGAGTCTTTTTCCTGTGCAGACGTTCTTGTATATAGTGTATTTTACTTTTTAAAACAGCTACAGCGTTTTTTTATTTCTGCAACAAGCGCTCTCCTTTGCACCATGCGTTCCGTAATTATGTAGATCATTTGCATAGGAGTGGGCCATAAAAAGTAGAAAATGCGGAGATCATTATCCCAATTTTGAACGATGCACTTAGAAAGTAGATACCCACGGTCTCCCGTCTTTTGAAAAATTGTGAAGTAGTTTAAGTGTTGATCCTTTCTGAGGTAAAAGACAATTTTCTGAATGCATCCACAGATATCCTAGTCCACTGGCATGCGTCCAATGTAGCCGTGTAACATTTCACAAATTGTCTCTCGTCTCTCCATATTGTCTTCTCGTCCCATTTGTACATAGTGCCCGATTTCTGTTGCGTACACGTCGCAACTCATCCAAATATCATTCGATGCGTGCCTCAAAATCACACGCAAACGCACATCCTTTACCTATCGAACGACTGTGTAGGCGTCTTCACCGAACTGTTATCATTCATTTGTATCTACTTATACTCACGACTCGGCGAATCGAGAAAATACGAGATTCATAACTGCTATGTTTCTCTTTGCAGCAGCAAGAAAGTTTAGTAAGTATACCTTTTGTATCGCACCAGGACTCCGTTCATGTTGTGGGTAACATCATTTGCTAGCAATTTTTTTTTTATTATTCTTTTGTTCTTCTATTGAACTACACTCGATAATTACTGTCAAATGTGCATCTCTGCTTTTTATGTTTAACGCGTTACATTTGTATTTGTATGTTGCACCGCGCCTCATCTACGTCACTGCATTCTTTTACGTTAACATGCAACCAGTTTACGTTGCCAATAAGCATGAACGAATACATGCCTGTTGTTAGCAGTCATTTATGGCCTTCTCTTATCGGTACGCTTGTCTAATTTTCTTTTTTCTTTATCCATTTTCTATCTGAAAGCGTCTCAGGTCGGATGTTCCGCGTCACAATTTTTCATTGAATTTCTCGGTATTGTAGGGAAAGGGGACGGGATCAGGGCACAGGACGCTACTTTATGGCAACGCTATTCTACTGAGGCACCTGAACAGCGACATGGTAAGTGCTTAAAAATTGATTCGATCCTCACGGGATTACTGATCGTTTCCTTTACAGTACTTGGCTTGCCTATCGACCAGCTCGTCCAACGACAAGTTGGCTTTCGACGTTGGTCTCCAACAACATTCTCAAGGTTAGCCGAAGGAACGCGACACCAAATTAATATCGAGTAATTCCAGTTATGATTAAACGTGTGCGATCGATTTAGGCGAGGCCTGCTGGTGGACCGTGCACCCAGCGTCCAAGCAGAGGTCAGAGGGTGAAAAAGTTCGAGTCGGTGACGATCTTATCTTGGTATCAGTAGCCACCGAAAGATACTTGGTAATAATCACATTTTTATGCAAAATAATATTAAAAAATATATTGTGTCATTTAAAAATTTCTATCATTCTTTATACTTTGTATATTTTTCTTGTAAACGCATAAAATCCAGTTTCTGATACTTTTCCCCAATGAATTCATTCATGATCTTACATTAAAAGAACAGATGCAACGTTTGGCTCGTTGCCCGAGCTCATCGAAGCTCGTCACGCCAAATATTCGTGTCATCGATTGAGTTGTTCATTTTACTTCAGCACACGACGAAGGAAAACGACTTGTCAGTGGTGAATGCATCGTTCCACGTGACGCACTGGTCGGTGCAACCGTACGGCACTGGAATCAGCCGGATGAAATACGTCGGCTACGTGTTCGGCGGCGACGTTTTACGATTTTTCCACGGCGGCGACGAATGTCTCACTATACCGTCCTCATGGAGCACGACCCCCAGTCAAAAGTAATTGACGTCTGAATTTATCTGCTTAACTTATAAAAAAAGCTTGCACGATTCACCCGTATTTTCATTTTACGGATAATCGTTTTTGTTGATAATTCGATTAGCATTGCTGTAACAACTAAGGTAAGGCTTCTTGTTACAGCATAGTGATCTACGAGGGAGGCAGCGTAATGAGCCAAGCTCGCTCGCTTTGGAGGCTGGAGCTTGCGAGGACGAAATGGGCTGGTGGCTTTATCAACTGGTTGCATCCGATGAGGATCAGACATTTAACAACCGGACGTTATCTCGGTGTCAAAGAGAACAACGAATTATACCTGGTTGATAGGTGGGTTTCAGAAAGTTCAAAGGTCATTAGATATTTTATTGGAGAATCAAACATTTATGGTATCAATTTTAAGAATAGAACTGTTATGATATGCAGTCGATTTTCTTTATTTGCATATTCAATCTTCTTATAAATCTATAAAGCCTGTCATGAGTTTACGTAAATCTGTTTGAAGGAATGAGGCGACGATCGAAAGCTCGACGTTCTGGCTGAGGCAAGAGAAAGATGATCAGAAAATCATTCTTGAAGACAAGGATCTCGAAGTAATTGGATTGCCCATTATCAAATACGGTGACTCGACTGTTATCATGCAACACGCTACCACTTGCCTCTGGGTTTCATACAAGGTAAACATAATTCCAAGAGTAAATGTTAGTCGACGAAAAATCGATATTAAATTTATTATTTTATTTAGTCGTATGAGACGAAAAAGAAGGGTGTGGGCAAAGTGGAGGAAAAGCAAGCAGTCCTTCACGAGGAAGGCAAGATGGACGATGGTCTAGATTTCTCACGGTCGCAGGAAGAGGAATCCCGGACGGCTCGCGTGATCCGGAAGTGCAGCAGTTTGTTCACACAGTTTATCACGTGAGTGTGGCTCAATTGCGATAGGATAGATTCGTTCAGATTAAAACGATGGGATTAAACATGGTAGAGGCTTGGATGGGAGCGAATTAACGCGGACAGGCTGATCGCTAAAAGGACCGAATATGTTTTAGAGGCCTAGAGACGCTGCAAGTCGATAGGAGAGCGTCTATGTTCTTCCAAAATGTGAATCTCAACGAAATGGTGATGTGTCTGGAAGACTTGATTAATTATTTTGCTCAACCCGAGGACGACATGGGTAAGCATAATAATTAATACAATATTAACTATCTAATTAATCACGTAATTACTTATTGACTGAATTAATTAATGAATTAATTAATCATAGAACACGAGGAGAAGCAAAACAGATTCCGTGCCCTAAGAAATCGTCAAGACTTGTTCCAAGAAGAAGGCATCCTAAATCTAATCCTAGAAGCCATCGACAAAATCAACGTGATCACCTCTCAAGGATTTCTAGTAGCACTTTCTGGTGACGAAAGCGGCCAGGCTTGGGACCAAATATCCGGTTACCTGTATCAACTACTGGCAGCCATAATCAAAGGGAATCACACGAATTGCGCACAATTTGCCAACAGTAATCGGTTGAACTGGCTGTTCAGTCGACTGGGTTCGCAAGCTTCCAGCGAGGGCACTGGGATGTTAGACGTGCTTCACTGCGTTCTTATCGACTCGCCCGAAGCTTTGAACATGATGAGAGTAAATATTTGATCGGAAACATTTTAATCATTCATCAATTCTAATGATTAATGCAAAATCGTGTTTATAGGATGAACACATTAAAGTCATCATTTCGTTGCTGGAGAAACACGGGAGAGATCCAAAAGTCTTGGACGTTCTCTGCTCACTTTGCGTGGGTAACGGCGTCGCGGTCAGATCATCGCAGAACAACATCTGCGATTTTCTCCTACCTGGGAAGAATCTTCTTTTACAAACGCAACTGGTGGACCACGTGGCCAGCGTCAGACCAAATATATTCGTCGGCAGAGTTGAAGGGTCAGCACTTTATCAGAAGTGGTACTTCGAAGTTACTGTGGATCACATTGAACAGACAACTCATATGATGCCTCATTTGAGGATTGGCTGGGCAAACACCTCTGGGTATGTTGGAAGTATTTTTTAAATATTAGGAAAATCACAATTTTAAATCTCAGAGTGATTGACGTCTTCTATTTATATTATTTTATTCTTTGTTTCCACTTAGATACGTGCCATATCCCGGTGGTGGTGAAAAATGGGGAGGCAACGGTGTCGGCGACGACCTTTACTCCTTCAGCTTCGACGGTGCACATTTGTGGACAGGTGGTAGAAAAACCCAAGTGATGCAGAACGCAACGGAACCGTATATCAGGAAGAGCGACGTGATCGGCTGCGCGTTGGATCTCACAGTGCCCATAATCACGTTCACCTTCAATGGAGCACCCATCATGGGATCATTTAGGAATTTTAATCTGGACGGCATGTTCTTCCCAGCAATTAGCTGTTCCTCCAAACTGTCTTGCAGATTCCTGTTAGGCGGTGATCATGGCCGGCTTAAGTACCAACCACCAGAAGAATTCTCACCCTTGGTGGAGAGTTTGCTACCGCAACAAATTTTATCCTTGGATCCTTGTTTCTATTTTGGTAACATGAACAAAGTGGTCTTGGCTGGTCCATGGCTGGTCGAAGACGACACGGCCTTCGTTCCTGCCCCGGTCGACACGTCCATGATCAATTTACCATCGTACGTCGAGCAGATTAGGGATAAATTGGCAGAGAACATTCACGAAATGTGGGCGATGAATAAAATCGAAGCCGGTTGGATATATGGAGAACACAGAGACGATCTAAGAAAGATCCATCCGTGTATCGTTCAATTCGAGAGACTACCAGCTGCAGAAAAACGTTACGATACACAATTGGCAGTGCAAACGTTAAAAACGATTTTGGCTCTGGGATATTATATAACAATGGATAAACCACCTTCTAGAATTAAAACCTTGAGGCTTCCGAACGAGCCCTTTCTACAGAGCAGTGGATACAAACCAGCACCACTGGACCTCAGCGCTATTACCTTAACTCCCAAAATGGAAGAATTGGTCGATCAACTCGCGGAGAACACTCATAACTTATGGGCGAAGGAGAGAATCAGTCAGGGTTGGACTTACGGTCTGAACGAAGATTCAGAAATGAGACGAAGCCCGCACTTGGTGCCGTACCCTAAAGTTGACGAAGCCATTAAGAAAGCTAATCGTGACACTGCTAGTGAAACAGTGAGAACGCTTTTGGTTTATGGATACATGCTGGAACCACCCACTGGAGAACAGCATGAAGGTAAACTTTTATTAGAAATTAATTGAAAATTATCAAAATATTAAAAGCTGTTTCCAAATTCACGAAATGCATATTATACTTTTAATGTCCTGCACATTTTTGCATATTTCATATTGTCTGCACATTCAATTAGGTATGAATATGTAATTGATTTAAAGAACGTTTTTATGAACTTTAATTGTATAGCATTGCTTCTGGAGGCGAGCAGACTGAGGCAATTATACTTCAGAACTTATCGCGTGGAAAAACACTATGCAGTGAGCAGCGGCAAATGGTACTTCGAATTTGAAGTGCTAACTGCTGGTCCCATGAGGGTAGGCTGGGCTAAAGCAGATTGCATGCCTGGAAGCATGCTGGGAAGCGACGAGAACACCTGGGCATTCGACGGTTACAATGTAAGTATCAATTTGATTGACTGTCGGATTGATATATTGCCAGAATCTAAGAAGACACTTTAGAAAATCGCGTAAACGAAAATGATAAAGTCATATCGACAGAGTTCATGGTAAGATAGATATGTGTATATGTCGAGGAAATTGTTTGCAAATGCGTGTTCACGGTTCCAGTGGAGATAAATAATTGATACCAATCGTGAATGTCAGGTAACTAAAGTACACGCCGGTAGCCACGAGTCTTTTGGTCACAAATATCAAGTGGGCGACGTAGTTGGATGTTTCATTGACGTCGCAGACCGAACGATCAGTAAGAGTCAAACTTATCCAGTAATCCGATTCGCAGGCCCATCATTTTGTTGAGTTTTTCTCGCGTCACAGACTGTTATTGTCCTTGTCTATTCTATGTTCTTTTTAAATGTTGACTTGGTTGTTTTTTCTGCGTTTCCTCCTTTGTCCGAAGAGCGGAATCTGAATTTCGCTCGCAAAACAATAAGTGTGGCTTCGAATACGCGAAGATATCATTATTTATACATTGTACAGTGTACATACAATTATGTCTCCTCTCGCCACCTCTTCGAGAATCTCGCGCGCACACACACACATACACAAGAACAAGTTATCAATTAATTGTCGTGCTAAGGATGTTTGATGGTTCGCGTACGAACCGCGGACCACGGACGGATATGTTGAATTGGTGAAATTTTATTTTAAAGGAGGAAAAAGTATATTCGGGCACAGCCGAGACTTTTGGCAAACAATGGCAGGTTGGAGACGTTGTCGGGGTTTTCCTGGATCTAATTGACCGAACAATTAGTAAGACGGAATCTTTCGAGCGTTCACACGCTTGAGCTGCCATTTCAAAGCTATACACTACATATATATATATATATATAATTTGATCCAAGAGATAGATTACTGGATACAGGAACATAAACGTACATTCAACTTTTCAAATCATTCAGATATTCAGCGATTTTAAGTAAATTTTTTTTACCGATCTCGATTCGGACATTGTAATATCACAAGACAAAAATATATGCCGAGACGTTTGCTTCGCAAAACAATCAGATTACTTACTGATCTCTACCGAACGCTGAATAGTGGACTGGCGTGGTATTCATTTTTCTGACACACGTCGATAGTATACTAATACATATTTGCGGTCTTCGGTCACGCTTGCTCGAGAGACGAGACACACCATGTAAAAAAAAAAATGTAAAAGTTCAACAATCCATAACTTGCCAATAAATAAGCATAAACGGATGAAACTTGTAATAATCGAGGTAGAAAGATTCATCTCAATCTGACTTCTGGTCCTGGAGATATCGTCGTGTGAAAATAATCAACATTTTTCTGGCATCCCTATTGTCGTCCTTCTCGCACGTTGACCGATTGACGGACCTACCCCAATCTCCACCAATCCGTCTGAACACCCAGCGTAACGAGGTCACTGTGTCATACGCTGCGCCTAAAAACTTCGGAAAGCTGTGCGAAACGGATCGAGATATAGGGATGAATAAAAAATGGCTCTTTTAACTAAGAGGGTTTTCAGTCAAAAATTCAGTGTCCTTATATGATTTTACTTTACATATTCATGATATTTAAAGTTTGACGAAGAACGGCTAAAAGGTCTCAACTAAAGATAGCCGTAGCTATTTCAATTGAGGCTATTATCATTAACACACATTCATTATCCAGTGTTCTATAGAGATCAGAGAACCAAATTCACTATCATAGCATTGCTTTCGTGTATGTTGGATTTTCGTTCATCTACCTGTACACTCTCATCGCACGCGATTGATCATTTTCCTTTTTTTTTCGTATCCAGTATTCTACTCAATAACTAAGAGGGTTTTCAGTCAAAAATTCAGTGTCCTTATATGATTTTACTTTACATATTCATGATATTTAAAGTTTGACGAAGAACGGCTAAAAGGTCTCAACTAAAGATAGCCGTAGCTATTTCAATTGAGGCTATTATCATTAACACACATTCATTATCCAGTGTTCTATAGAGATCAGAGAACCAAATTCACTATCATAGCATTGCTTTCGTGTATGTTGGATTTTCGTTCATCTACCTGTACACTCTCATCGCACGCGATTGATCATTTTCCTTTTTTTTTCGTATCCAGTATTCTACTCAATCAGTGTTGTAAATAACAACGATGCGTTCATGTCTCATACGATTCACACTTACGATACTAACTATGAAAGAAATGGTGATTCCAAAAGATGCTGATTCAAAAAGCGCGTGCCTTGAAATATACTTTGAACTTTCAACGAGGACTACCCTTGTATTTAATTATGTATTTTTTTTTTATAATAACCCTCTTAACGATTACGACACTTACTTTATGTTATAATATTTTCAAACCATTTCTACCTAAATGCATGCGTATACTAAAATTGACCAACAATTTTCACACTTGCTTTGCAAAGTTGTACATAGTTGCACTTCGTCTATGTCTTCTATTCATAGTTGCCATTTGTTTAATTAATAACGCTTTGACTTTTAACTTTGCTACTCGTAGTCCTTCTTATTTTAAAATAACAATTTGTGTTCAACATACTTTTGCTAGTACAACAGTGATTCTGTATAAGTTTATCAGCAATACAAATACGAATCATTACTCAGGCTTCTCTTTGAATGGGGAACTGCTTATGGACGCTCTTGGCGGTGAAACATCCTTCGCTGACGTTCAAGGCGACTGCTTCGTGCCAGCTTTTACTCTCGGCGTTGGTCAAAGGGCAAAGTTAACTTTTGGGCAAGACGTGAATACGTTGAAATTCTTTACGACTTGTGGTTTGCAGGAGGGATACGAGCCATTCTGCGTGTAAGCGTTTTAACTTCGTATCTTCATTTTCTTTTCATATTGAGAAAAATTCTGTGCAAAATTTCATTTACATAACAGCCACCGAGGAGATATTATTAGAGTGGCAGCGCCCCGTTGGAAAAATTTCGGAAA